TTTGAAATAACAAGCTTAAGTGTTGCATATGTTCTTCCGTCGATGAGCTGGCAATTAAGACATCGTCGATATATACAAAGACGAAATCAAGACCTTGGGTAACTTGGTCCATAAAACGCTGAAATGTTTGAGCAGCATTCTTTAGTCCGAAAGGCATTCTCAAGAATTCGAATAATCCAAAAGGCGTAATAATTGCTGTTTTTGCAATGTCTTCTGGAGCGACTGGTATTTGATGATATGCCCTCACCAAGTCAACTTTAGTAAAAATGGTCTTTCCATGTAAGGTCAAGGAGAAGTCGTGGAGATGAGGTATAGGATAACGATCTGGTACCGTAGCGTTATTCAAAGCGCGATAATCTCCACATGGTCGCCAGTCATGATTAGTTTTAGGTACCATGTGCAGAGGTGAAGACCATGGGCTGTTAGATGGTCGTATGATACCTAACTGCATCATATGTTCAAATTCCGACTTAGCTGCTGCTAGTTTATCGGGTGGTAACCGTCGTGGACGTGCCTTCACAGGTTGTCCTGTTGTGATGATTTTATGCGTAACTGTATGAGATATATCTTCAACATTGTATGATGGTTTAAGGATTTTAGGAAATCGTTGCAATAAAGCAGAGAACATTTCACTCTCCGGCTTTTCTATGCAGATGCTATGAACAGAGTAGTCGCATGTAATACCATGGATCTTGAGTTGGGTGCAATTGTCAACCAGTTTTTTCTTGCTGATATCAACCAACAGATTGAAGTGACTTAGAAAGTCTGCACCTAGTATAGCGTGACGTACGTCAGCTACTATGAAGATCCATGTGAAACGTCGGCGTAGTCCCAAATTTAAAATCATTGACTGTTCGCCATACGTCTGTATGTTGGTTTGGTTGGCAGCACGGAGTGAAAGTTTTCCAGGTATTTTGGCTGATCGCCTGGATAGTGAGGGGGGGATAACACTGACCTCGGCGCCTGTATCTACCAGGAATAATGTGCCGGTAGTCAAATCCCTCACATAAAAAAGGCGACTGTGGTGATTGCCAGTAACAGCTGTCGCCATCACTGTCTGGCTGAGGCGTTTCCCTGAGCCTGGTTGGCTTCGCTAAAGCTGCACGGTTTTACACATTTCAGGGCATGACGTCCAAACTTCCAGTGATACCAGCATATATTGCTATCCCGAGAAGACGTGTAAGAACGCTGTCGTGAGAAGGATCGTCGTCGTGATGGTGACCTTCTCTGTGAGCTCCGTCTCCGGACTTGTCGATCAGACTTATTAGTTTCCAAATTGTCAATCCTTGCCGCTAAGTCTGCAATGGCGGCGAGTATCGGTGTGTCTGCCGTGGGTGTGGAATGACACGGTGTGGCACTATCAGATGCTACGTGACTTATGGTGTTATCGGATAAAACATCCAAAATACTATCTGCCATGTCACTTAGTTGGTCTAAGTCATACGACTTTCCTGAGATGATTAAAATTTGCTGGACATTTCTAGGTAAACGTTGCAACCACATCTGTTTCAGCACGACCTCGTCTACTTTATGATTTCCGATTAACTGGCGCATGTGCCTGAGCAGCTGGGATGGTTTACGTGGGCCTAGATCACAGCCTGTGAGCAATTGTTGGATTCTTTTCTCATCCGACAAACTGGTACGTTGTATGAGGAGGGCTTTAAGTTTATCAAATTGATGTTCCGTCGGAGGATCTTCGATGAAATCGCTGATTTCTGTCAATACTGACGGAGGGAGTTCTGCCAGCACCATACCATATTTGGCTATTTGGGACTTAATGCCCCGTGCTTCTAGCAACGGTTCAATTACCGCAAACCAAATCCTTGGTTCTGCGAAACCGTATTGGGGTAAACGAAAATCAGTGATGGCATTTATTGTGGCATTTGTCTCGCTATTAGTTGTCTGCTCGTTTGATGTACCGGACTGAGGTGATGACATTATAAATATGAGGTTATTGGTGCAAATTAGGATACAAATATAAACCACACACAAAATCACAATGAATATAAAAATAGCAAAAATAAGAATATAAATATGCCAAAATAATCCGTGTTCTTATCGGGCTCACCAATTAATTTGTAGGGGACTAATATTAGAGTTCACTAACATTCCAAATATAAAAGTAATAATCCAAGTCAGTGGAGTGTTAAATCACAATATATTACCAAAAATACAGTGACGAGTTATAGCAACAAAAAGGATTACTTGGTTATAAAGTATAAGTCCTCGGCTACAAATTAATTATATAATCCACAGGCACGTTAACTGTTTGGACTGCGTCTGCTGTAGCTGCTGTGTTCCGGTTGTAGAAATGTCTTCGGTTGAAAGTAGTAGGCTCCTACAATAAATCCGAAGTATACAACACGGTGTGAGTGGAGCAAGTAAGCAGAAGTGACCAGGGAGAAGACGAAGTCTCCAACAGCAGAGTGTATTTTTCAATTGTACACGGAAGTTATGTATATTTCAACAAGAAGCGTTTTAAACAAAAATTATGTACAATATCTCGAATTTATACAAGTAACCAAAAAGTGTACAATCACATTGTTACGTACTCAACAAAACTACCACATCAAAATCATCCACCTTCTCTATCATATCTAGTATGAAATTTATAAATATATAGTTCAAGACCATTTGAATGAGACCATGGCTAACCTCAGATAAGAATCTATTCATATCAGAACAATCCAGTGCAGAAAGTATTGAGAGAGAAACTGTCAGATTATCAGCATACATATGAAACTGTGTGCAATTTAATTCCTGAATTTCCACCTCCAAGCTCATTTATGGTAAAATACTAACAGTGGGATATGAAGATTAAAGATGGCGATAAAAGTGGACGAAATAATTGTAGGGCGATAGGGCGTGAGTGCAAAAGCCTACCATGAATGTCGAAAAACCAAATATGAAAATGAAAGGGACATAAGGAATCGCTGAGAGCGATGGAGCAAGTCAATCTTGAGCTTCTCTGTGGCAGGTTCTTCAAAAATGCTCTATAATGAGTTCTACAGTAGATCCATTACCATAAGAACCCAGCATTAGCACGTAGCATAGTGTAATGATTATTATGTGTTACTATATGACAGCACGATTTATTTGACGTATGATACTATATGACACAATATCGTCTGTTAGTAATAAACTGAGTTCAAAGAGCCATTTTAAAATGAAACTACACACAATTTTGGTGGATGGTGACTAGCACTGGAATCCAAGATGTGCATTTCATCCTATTTTAGGATTCTTCATCTGCATGTGCCTACAATTCTTAGTGAGTGGCTGTATACCCACTGGGACTCGAACATAGCACCCATGGTTTCAAATGCCAAGGCGTCATCCACTAAGCCACTGAAGACATGAGAGCTACCTTTTATGTAGGGTGTATCACTTACTAATTACTTTTCTCGTTGATCAATTGAGCACTACTGTTCGAAACTGCGAGTGCGTGGTTCCATTCTCTGTGAGAACACCATCAGTTATAGAGAATGAAGATACATTTATCGAATGAATCCTAAATGGGGAAAATAAACAGCCTAGATTCCACTACTAGTCAGTAGTCAGAGAAATTAATATCATATTAATCCCCAAACGTCGTCGAAGCGTCCGCCCTAGATGTCAGCATGTCAACAGGAACCGTGCACTTCAGTCCGACACAATTAATCTACGATAATTACGAATTAATATAAAAAACAAGTGGGTTCAACACTTGGATAGACCGAATATTTGAGAAGAATTGTGTTGTAGTTTGTCAAAGTGATTGACTATTTACATAAACAGTGTAGGGTGACCAGAAAAGTGTTTGAGATCTTTTGATATTAAAATAAATTGACCCTTTTTACAATGAGAATCAGTTTGATGAGTCGCCTGTAAAACATTTCGCATGGTGGCACAGTGGTTAGGACTCTTGCCGACCATGTACACGGTCCGAGGTTCGATCCCCTACCGACACACACCTGATATCTATGGTTGGCCTGCAAAATTTGGGCTACATGCTGAAGATTCCATACATCTACCAAAAATATACGGTGTGGAATCAAGCTGTAATCAAAAAGAAATCAAATAACCTGAGCACATTTTAAGTTTGGAATTTTACTTCACGTAATATATCATCTACTCTCCATCAATTAACATCCCGCCAATTAGTTAAGTATCACTTTTAGTCATTGCTTGTGATTTCAACAGAACAGTAAGCCTCATTTTAAGTCCTCTTGCCTTTTAAATTCATAGTGTGGTAAAATGCCTGCCGACTATGCATGTGGTTTGGGGTTCAGTGATCAACCACATGCGCACTCCTTTACCTCACGAAGCCGGTAATAAGCCCGAAAAAGAGGGAAGTGCGGACATGAGATTATCAACCACATTCCGTAAAAATAAATACCACAGCGACCGAGACTTCAAGCCTGTAGCCTGAAGCTCTATGTTCCACTGGGAACTTAAAGGAATAAAATTTTAAAAAATTGCCTTTTGAATTCATTAAGTTTCATCAATAAGGCCGGTTTTATAATATAACAACATACTCAACCTCTTGCTGATAGTCACCTTCAGTTATACCCGAGTGTCATTTCTTTTATTCCATTGTGTTCTTAGTGGGACATAAGGCTCTAAGCTTTATCCTTGAAGTTCCAATGGCAGTCGTCTTATTTTTAAGAGGTGAGGTTGCTAGCCTCACATCCAATCTTCCTACTTTACTGGGCTTACCAACGGCTAAATGAGAAGAGATTCGAGTAGGGATCACATCCTGAACCACTTATATGGTTGAACGATCGAGGCCTCTAATGTCATTTTATATCATTGTTATTAATTAGTCTTAAGTGAACTGGTGAAACCAAAACACGTTGAACACTGCTAGCGCCTAGAGGACAACAAATTCCCGTATAAAATTAAACTTGTGTTATACAACGAAGAATATAGAAGTGCTAGATTTCGTATATTCTTTATGACTACCTCAAATTGATACCAAGTAACATTGTTCCCTTTGTGTATTTTGATTTGCCCTATAGAGTAATGTTGATTTACGCTTTCCAACATTGAATAGTGAGACAAAAATAAGTGGTTCTCATACCAGTCATACTAATCAAGTCAAGATAGACAACCAGAACAAATCTTTAGTCTCTGTAATGAGTGGAGAAGGAATCGAAGATACAAATGTTGCACGATATAATGTAAGTGAATGAACCTGTTTATATATATATATATATATACTGTGTGTTAATGATTTCTTATTGAGTGTATAATGTAACTGCCTACTTGATGTGAAGCTATTTAGTAAGTTTCACATTAAAGTTGATATTTTTTCAGAATATTAGAAAGGTTTTTGATAAATACCATGTCTCTTGAATCTTAGAAGAATATTTTGTCTTTAATCGCTACTAGAAAAACTTCAAAATCATTTGATCCAACTCTTCTTGACAAAGTCACTATCAACTAGACTGTATATTTGTGTATTTGGAGTGATCGGCTCTTTGTTTCATTTGTTCCTCTTTCTTGGTAATGAGGTCGCTATAGACATCTTTTATTGTTTTATTATCATCTGGGTTGATCTCTTCCCCTACAGAGACTTGGTTATCTGATACAATGTCCTGAGGTCTCTTTTACCTGTGGTCGGCTGATTCAGCTTCAGTCGCTAGCTAGTGTATCGTAGAATTGTCTTTTGTCTTTCCTAGCACTATTCTTCACTGCTTTCTTCATTCACTGCAGTGTACACTGAACTCAGTTTTTTCGGTTCTCTTGTCCATCTTTGCACTGAGTCCTCTTCTCTTCCACCGTTCTCCTCTCCTCCCTTCTATTAGCTTCCAGGTAGGTGTCCACTGAGAGACATTCCTTGTTGTATCTCTTCTTTCTTGCTAGAAAATTTTTACACGTTCCCTCAAGCGTCGCCTTCAGAGAGTTACTTCCAATGTTCTTCTACGCAGACTTCCTCAGTGATGCTACGTAGTGTCTCCGACTTTGTTCTGATCTGGTCTGTAGTGAAGTTAGCTATCCCGTGTAGTTTTGTCTTCCAGTTTCTGAATGTTGATCCTGAATTTTGACCTGTCTCCAGTTGTTCTGGAGGATTTCACCATCAACTTGAAAGTCTCTTGAATTATACGATGGTGGGAGCCTAAATCTACTCCCCTTCTCAGCTTTGTGTCCAGCAGGTAATCTGCTTCTCCAATTCTTTGAGAATGACACTAAGTCTATCTGGTTTTCGGTGTGTCCGTCAGGCAAAATCCATGTTGCTTTGTGTATATCCTTGTGCTTGTACATGCTGCCTCTGATCACCAAATCATTGAAAGCGCAGAAGTCTGCAAATAATTCTCTGTTCTCATTCATTTTGCCGAGTGAGATCCTCTCGACTCCTGATGATTTCTGCTCCTGTATTATCTGCTACCAGTTTTGCATTCATATCACCCATGAGGATTTTGATGTAACACTTCAGGATGTTGATTAATACTGTCTGTAGTTATCTACAGAAATCTTCCTTCTTCTCTTGTTCGGGGTTGTTTCTAGGTGCATGTCACTGAATAATTGTGACTTTCCTTCCTTTTGAGTTGAATATTGTGTCATGATCCTGGATGAAATTGGTTATCCCTGCATTAGGGCTCTGGCTGACACTCTTGACATCATAATAGCCACTGACAGTGTCAATGTGCTCGCGTTTGTCGTCTGGATGACTAGTTCGGAATAAATTGCTGACTCTGAAGTTGACAATTTGGTTAGTCTACATCCATTACATCTGCTGTCGCAGATTCCAAGCACTTCTATTCCATGCCATTTCACTTACTTGGTTATTTAGACAACCTTCTCAGCCTCTCAAATTGTACGAATATTCCACTTCCCCATCCTTACTTTGTCTTCGTGGGAGAAAGACACATCGGCTGATTGCCTTTCTGAAGGCTTTCATCAGCTCATGTCATTTTGCCTCTCCAATTCCAGCGGAAAATAATTTCGCGTCCTACACTTTTGGTATACTGCACTGAAGTTTCTGCAGCAGGTTTTTTGCAGGCTAGTTTCACGAGCTCTATGCCCAGCCCTTCCTCTTATATCGGGCCTGGGACCGGATAGAAAGCTAGCGAGTTAGTGAACTACATGAAGATGGTGATCTCCATAGATCAGCACATTGATTTCAGAGTAATGAAGGCGAGTTTCGCCTTCCTTACTGACCGTGGCTGATGTCGACATCCTCATCCATATCATCTTGAGTTGGAATGATGCAGTCCAGATGATGGTTGTTGGTGGTATCCAGATATTTTCGTTATCTCTGTCTTGTCTACATCCTTCCTACCAGAATGGTGGTTTTTGCTTGTAAGTCTTCGATATTCCGAGGTAAAAGACATAAATCATCTGAGAAATTCAAGTATTTTAGGGTCTTTTTATCGGTCTAACATACTTCCATCTTCTTACTCCCTACTACGCCATAGTCAACATCACTGGTGACAGTATGCAGGTTTGTCTCACCCCTGATTTCACTTCACAGTTGAAGCATCATTATACAGTAAACCAATGAAGTGTGTGAGTGTTTGCAATACTGCGCTGAAAAGTGTTAAGGCAGCTGCCAAACTAACATAACATAACAATTTCGCTTTATTCCAGAAACAGTACTTGTGGTACAGTGTGGAATTTTCAGCACATATCTACAATATTGCATCTAATTTCATCGTACATTTAAAAGGAGTATTATAAAAAAATAAATAAATATAAAAAACACAGCAAAAAACCAAAAAAGAAACATAGAAATAACAAAAAAAAAAAAAATGCAAATAAAAATACCAAGTAGAAAGGAAGATAAACACAAATAATGAAAAAATATTTCAGTATTGGTTAGTGGAAGCTATGATATGTGTATGCGTGGTGAACAGTAACAGCTATAATCATACAAGAAATTATGAGATGTTCTTAAAAATGTTTATAGCCAAGATGATCAGTTAATTTGATTGAACAACACTAAACAATCATAAGATAAACATTTCAGGTTGTTTTTTTATTGTCAGCACTAATGCGGTGTTTGTTGTGGTAGTGTGAGGAATCATGCATAATACAAAATTTTTTAAGATGGTGATAGTGGCAATAACAAACAAGATTGTCAGTTAAATAGTGCCGAACAAAGAACAACCACAAAACTTAATATTACATGATGGTTAATGACAGGACAATTTTGTAATAATCATAGTGATAATATAGTCGGACCCAGTAGATATACAAAAGAAGGAATAGAGTAAAGTACAAAAAAGTAAGCCAATGATAATAATTTTAAGCAGCTAAGTATGTTTAAGAAGGTTGTTCACTATAGAGTACAAATAAGAGAGTATAAGGGGGAAATAACAAGGGCCAAAATTATGTTATTAACAACAAAGCAAGTCATAGGTTTCGCGCTTAACATTGTCTCTGTCACTTAGAACACGGGCCAAATATGGTATCGTTGAGTTCCTATACTTGGTTGTACGAGCATATATTATTTTATACTGATTTCTGGTTCTACCTGATGAGATGCAAGGAGAGAGTTGGGAATAGAGGGGGTGTTGGGGGTCAGAGAGTATGGTTTTAGACCATTTCTCACATGTATTCAGATGCTTATCCACTAATGTTGTGACGAGCTGACTGAGTTTTACACCGCTAGTCCTACTAACTACCTTCAACATCCTTCTCAGGATGGTATAATCCTTTTTCAGTAACCCAGGAAAGACTAACGGGGAACAGTAAAGTAGAATAGGTAGGATACGAGAGTTGACAAATTGTGAAAGCAGAGGTTGAGGGACTCCAGTTAGTCTGAGTTTCTTAATGTAGTAGGTTAGACGAAACACTTTCTTGGAAATCATTTGGATATGAGATGACCAAGTAAGGTCGGAAGATATAACTAATCCGAGGTATTTTGCATTAGACTTTGTTTCAATTATAGTCCCCTCAATTCTACAGACATCATGAGTGCTTACTAGTGTTTGTAGATCTCGTTTATGCCTAAAGGAGAAGTCGACAGTCTGGCATTTTGAGGGATTCAGCGTGAGGCCATTTAGTTTAGACCACTGACTGATGTCCGACAGGAAGCTATTTAATTTGAAGCAGTCTGACTGAGACTTAACGGGAAGCGAAACAGTCAGGTCATCTGCATATTTGACGAAGTTGATTTCGTCTGAGAGAGGTAAGTCATGTAAGAAGAAGGAAAAGAGAAACGGCGAGAGAACAGCACCCTGAGGAACACCAGCTTCAGTAAGCAAAGGAGAGGAAGCTACACCATTATATACCGTGTACTGCATCCTATTGGAGAAGTAAGAGTGCAGCCAGTTGATAGCCCAGGACTCAGTTTGTGTAAGGCTAAGCTTGTTTAACAAAAGGCCTCTAGGTACAGAGTCAAAAGCAGATGTGTAATCAAGGAAAGTACAACGGACATACTTGGCCCCTTTGTCTAAGGAGGATACAATGTTGTGATGAAACACAGCAGCAGCATCCAAAGTACTTCTACCCTGTTTGTAAGCAAACTGCTTTGGATCGTTTGAGAAGCTTAGGGAGGGAATGAGTTTTTGTAACAGTAATTTCTCCATCAGTTTCAAAAAAGGAGAGGTAATGGCAATTGGTCTAAACTTAACACTATCTCCAGAACCAGACTTGGGTACAGGGATGATTTTAATATCTTTCCACAGAGAAGGTACATTATTATTAGAAAAAGAAGTATTGAAAATGCTTGTAAGTGGGTTACTTAAAATATCAGCACATTTCTTTAAAACAATGGCAGGTATACCATCAGGGCCTAGACTCTGGGAAGGTTTAAGAGATTTCAAACATTTAAGAACATCAGAAGTATTGAAACTATGAAAGTCACTGGTCGTGTTATTAGTTAAATTGAAGGCAGAAGGGACATTTGGAGGGCGGATAAAAGATCTATTGAGAGTATTAACATCAATAGAAGAAGCAAAATTATTATGCTTACCACAACGCTGAAAATTCCATGCTGTAAATTGTTATTGTTGTGGAATAAAGTGATTATTATTATTAAAAAAAAAACCTGTAATTTCTCTAAAAAGCTTCCATATGTTTTCTGAGGTTTTACAAGACAGTATTGTTTGATTATAAATGTTGTTTAGTCTCTTGATTTCAGATTTAATTTGGATGTTTATCTTCTTAAGACTAGATTTATTCTTTGTCTTGTACAGCTTCTCTTTTTCTCTACGAAGTTTTTTGAGGTGAGGGGAAGAGAAACGGTCTATTCTTTTGAAAATTGTCTGTTATGGACAGCATATATCAAGGCAGAATTTAAGATAGTCAGTCAAATTGGAAATAGTATCATCCAGTTTGTGTTCGTTGAAAAGTTCCCAGTTAGTGTCATTTAGCATACATCTTAGTTTCAGCATATTTTCTTGTGAGTAACACCTTTGCTGTGTTTTCTTGGACAAATGTGAGAAGATATTATAGTGAGATCTGCTGCATATCTTAGGTAATATCCTAATAATACAATGATCCGAGTTCATGATAGGAGCACGTCTGCGTACTTCATATATTTCCTCATCATTAATAAACACTAGATCCAGAGTTTTATCAAGTCGAGTAGGAAATTTAACAATATTGGCATGACCTAATGATATGAGGAAAGAACAATCGCAGCAGTTAAAATCTCCTGTGACAACTGATAAAGAGTTTTCAAGATGTGTAACGGCGAATCCAGTGAATTCATCAGCAAATTCAGATAGATCAGATGCAGAACAACCAGGAGTAACATAAATATTTGAGATGAAGACGTATTTAAACTTGGATAAGTGTTTCGGGCGGCATTTGACTGTTATACAATCAATAAAGTCATTAGAGTAAGAAAAACATACATTATTTGAAGTTGACCATTGAGAATGAATGAAAGTTGCAACACCTCCACCTCTTTTCTTTCTGGAGCATAGTCGATCTTGTCTAAACAATGTACAACTATTTAGGGAAACCAGATTGTCATCATAGAGTTCATGGAGCCATGTTTCTTGTAATGCAACAATCGCCGTATTGTGATAAGTATCAGATGTTAAGAGAGACTGGAGATGCATAATTTTGCTGGGAAGTGAACGGCAGTTTGAAGTGACAATAACAGGAATAGTTGTACGATATAAAGGTGTCTGCATAAGTGCACGCTGCCAGCCAGCGTGATGTTTTCTCTTAGATTTATTAGATGCATGAAAGTCATATGGTTTGAAACGTTTAATGAATGAATTACTGTATTTTATGCGATTTGTGATCATATTTTATTAAAATTAGGAATGAAATCATGACTATTAGATACAATATGTAGATGCAGGAAAAGGTAGCCCAGATGTCAAACAGGCTGCCAAGGGCTTCATACTCGACTCTAACGAATGCTTTTTCAAAGTCGACGGGGTTGAGTTGTACAGTTGACTGCCATTCTATGCTTTTTTGCTGTTGGACCCAGGGATGTCTTATTTTTCCTGAATACGCTAGAAGACAAGAGACTTAGTATATCTCCATATGGCTAAATTACGTACACTTAATATGAAATTCATCATTTGCACAGATCTCCTGTTCTGTGCTACTTCTGAGCTTCATTTTGTGTTTGTTTGTCTTATTTTCGTGTCTTCCATGTTTCACTCCAATTCTTGTTCATTTCCTGTCTTTTCTCGTCAAATCTATCCCTCCCCTACTAGCTATTTTTGTGCCTAAGAAGGTCTCTTAATTAACTACTGATAAATCCTATCAGTTTGATTGCATGGAGGATTTCATCATGAGCTGACATCAGCTAGAGATCCACTGGAAAACCTGGGAGTACTGGACAGCATTTTCGTCCTAGTTTGGAACCCTTCATCAGTACGCACCTGCGGGGGTTCGAACCCAGGACCTTCGGGTTACATGGATGAAATCCTCCATGCAATCAAACAAAAATCCCTACAAAGCAATACTTGAAAATTAATCCGATTCTCACTAGCGACTGGCTCTATTCAGGCAGTTAACCTGGGGTTCTAGTGGGAAGTCGTGACCAGTAGGGTACAGCAGATTGAAGGTGAGGCAGTAACTCATCGAAGAAGACATTGTGAAATCGTCGCGCTATGTCATGAATTGGCAGAAGTTAGAATTCAAGGACCGTTGGATCGGGTCCAGTGGCTCAATGGTCTACGAGGTCGCTAGCCTTGTAACCAGAAGGTGCTGGGTTCGAACCGTGGCGGTGGGTGTGTACTGCTGAAGTGTCCCAAACTAGGCCGAAGAAACTGTCCAGTACTCCCAGTTGGTTTTCCAGTAGTTCTCCAACTGATGTCAGCTCATTGTGAAATCCTCCATGCAATCAAACAAAAAATCCCTACAAAAAACCAATACTTGAAAATCCTATCAGTAGCATAATAATGGTTTATTCACTGTGATTTAACTATTACTTGACTTACTTTTGTTTCACTTTCAACTTTCAGAATGGTTTAATTTACATCAAAAAATTGGATTTGAACAATGCTGCCTTGAAGAGTAAATTTCTAGATCATATTCGTTTGTTAAGAGAGATACGCAATGAAAATGTCAATCAGTTGATTGGTTGTTATGTTGATCTGACAGCTTTATGTTTAGCATTTGATCATTGTACACGAGGAAGTTTAAGAGTAAGTGATATTTTGATATTTAAATCAATCATTTTCTTCACTGTTACTGTAATCAACCATTTAATTGCTTATTTCATCATGCAAAGCAAATTTGGATGTCAGTAGGTGTCCTTTGCGTTTAATAAGTCGGGTGGAAGTCTAGTCATTTCATGAACTATAATGTGAAGCCGATTTGTTTACAATTTCTGTTCTTCAAGCAACGAAGTGCGTCAGGGATATTTTGATTTCCTGCGATTGAATTTCTCCATTTATCTGTAAATTCACACTAATTGGCACATGCTATTGCTTTAATTTCAAGTGTTAGTGCTTCTAGCCATTTAGTATAATACTTAGGTTCACCTCCCATCCATTTTCACGTAGGTTTCACCTGTATCTTATGTAAATAATCAAGCTATTATTCATAAACTGACGATTATCTCATAGAGAACAAGGCAGTTAATCAGTCTATAGTATTACACTTAATGTGCGTCCGAGACTTTCGAGTATAATCAGGTACATGTTAGCATGATGTTCCAGGATTGACTTGAAGTTATTCGAAGGATGTTGACTAGCAGTGGAATGCAGGATGAGCATTTTTTTTCTATATGAGACTCTTCGTAGAGCAAGTGGTTCAGTGGATGGTTCTTTGGTTTCTGAAACAATGATTACTGAGTCCAAGTATCAGTGGGAGCACCATCATCACTCACTGGGAAATGCAGAATCGTCCACTAGCCGACAAGTCCCAAGTTGGACGAAATCCGTGTTCTTCTGGATTCCACTATTGGCTAGAATCCACCAAATACGTATTCCATGTGTTTCGTGGGTCTCAATTAGATTTTGACAGTTATTTTAATTCAGCGCATACAGGTGTTTTATGGTAATGTCGGTCTTCACACTAAATTTGTTAGATAAGACGCAAATGTATTACAAATTCATAATGAAATTGAATAAATTTGACATTCTACTAAATGAGTTAAACCCAGTAGTAAGTAACTGCATAATCACATGAGTGAGACATTTATTTTGCTTACTTTACTTTGGACTACTTGAAGAACATTTTATTGAATAACGATTGACTTTGTCCTATGTAACAGTAAGTTACACAATTATTCAAATTAAATACGAATCTAAAGTTGGCAACTTAAACTAACTAACAAAATAAAAGATCGAGATCAAGTCAGATCAAGAGGTAACATCAGTTACAGTGCCGGTAGATAGTTGTTTCATCCCAGTCTGGAGCTCTTCAACATTACGCATTCCTCACCACACTGGGTCTAGAATCCACGACTGATCACAAAATGGAGGAGCCTAGAGTTCCGGTGAGGAGTTATGTTTATTAGGGCCCCCAGTAAGTCGAGTATGATGGCAAATATTCATTGATGATATTGGCTTGTCGTGGTGGTAAATATATATCGCTAACTAGCAGAAGTCAAAATTCATGAACCTCAGTGGTTGAAGAGACATGAGGCTTTTGTGCTCAATTCTCAGTGGATTAATAAGTACGTACTGCTGGTATTCTCAGTAATGCCCTGTGTTTTTAGTGGTTTCCTAAATGGTTTTAGTTGGGGATTTAACTCAAAGTGAATCCAATCTCTGTTAACCGACACTTGGAAACACACTGAAATTCCATTCTTAACAAATGTAGGTATATACAGCTTCTTTGATCCTGTTAAAGAAGAGGGTACTTCTAGGATTTACATGAGAGAACTAGTTTGGTTTTAACATTGTTTAGTTGTTTATAATTATTTTCTTTTTGTCAAAAGACTGATTAATGAAAAAATGAATATTCTTTTAGATAAATTCGTCATCAGGTTCTACATTTATGTGACAATAATAACTAAAGAAATATTTTTATTAAAAACATTAATTCTGTTTTAAATTGCATATATGAGAACTGTTGATGGTTTTGACTACACCTTTATTTTGTCACACTCCTGGTAGGTGTTCCTGAGTTTTCAAGGTGGAAAGGCCAATATAACTGGCTTCACCAGAGCATTTGAGCTGATAGATACAATCAGAGGTGGCTAGTCCAGATACTTTATCTTTCAGCTTCAGAATCACAGTCGCTTGCGTGGTAATTGTAGGCTACAGCTTTCCGGCATTAAATTTTCTTTAAATAGATTTCCTCAACTTTCTGGTTACTGCCTCACTTGATATATCACCTCTAAATTGTAGTGGCATATATATACATGCTTCTTGTTGACAGGTACAGAAGAATGCTTTTCTACTGTCTTAGCTATGTATTCAGTGATGAGCCTGTCAGGGTAGCTGCTTTCAGGCAACTCGTCATATGCAACCTTAAGTTTCTCTTCAATTTCATCTTCTGAATAAATTGTTCTGAACCCAGAGCTAAGGGTCTTTACCCAACTTCTTTCATACTGGAGAGGAACTGTGCAAAATACAGTTGTTATGTATCTCAGTACATTATAGACACAGTTCGCGAAATGTAAGGAAAATTCATAAATAATGAATAGTTTTATGAAATATAATTGTAAGAACGCATTCATTGTATTAACACAATAAGTCTGTTGAATCTATGGTTGATAAAAAGTGAATAGATTTTCAATTGATAATAATTATCAGATAGAGTAAAGTATTTGTACTTGCTGACTTTTGTGTGGATAGATGTCTACAAGTGGGTGTTTGCTATAAACATGTTTCCTACAAAACAAAAGGACTGTAGACATCAATTAGTACAAAAAACCCACATTGAAAGTAAAAGGGGAATCAGTGTTCGCTTACTCGTTGTATCCTCTACAGCCAACTCAATTCTATCATATTATTCCTTCACGTTCCCACTGGTATACAGGGCTTCGAGCTAGAGCTTTGAAGTTTCGGTAGCAGTGATTTTATTTTTAAGGGGTGGGGTTGTAAGCCCCATGCATAACCTTCTGTCTTTTCCGGTTTTATTATCGACCTAGCAAGGTCTAGGACTGAGTCGACCAAGGATCAAACCTCGGTTCACGTGCATGGTTGGCAAGCGCTCTACTAATGAACCACCGAACTGCTGGCTTTATTATATGTCAGACCGCGAAGAAATTAAATTTCATCCAATCTAAATCACAGACCTGATCATGGGCTTAAATCATTTAGAGCACCGTTTGAAAACCAAGGAAGACTGTATAGCTGTTTCATTCTAGTTTTGGACTCTTCATAATTACTCACCCGACGCCTTCACGACACAAAGCCAGCTCATACGCCATTCAGCCAACGGCTCATGAATTTCAACACATGCCAGTCTTCGGCGTATTTATATGGCACGACAGTTGGCCAGTGTCATAGGGAAGTGATTATTCTCTTATCTAACTTTGTGAATAAGGTGTATCAGTTAGAATTAAGTGAAAAGTACTTAATTTTATTGACCTGGCATTTTACTACAGTTAATTTTGTCTTATCAACTTATATATACTGACTGATGGCTCAGCGGTTATGACTCCCGCCGATCATGCACATAGTCCGGGCTTCGATCCCCTGCCGACGCACACCTGATATCTATGGTTAGCCTGCAAAATTTGGGCGACCGATATCACATGCTGAAAATTCCATACATGTACCAAAAATACGGTGTGGAATAAAGCTGTAATCAAAAAGAAATAAAATAAATTGAATTTGACCAATTAAGTTGGCAGTCCACGACTGCGTAAATAAACACAGTGAAAAACAATAATAACCGATAAATTTCACTTAACGTCAGTAAACAGGTATTTATAGGCCTTCTCGGGACTACTGAATAAAGTGAATCTATCACCTCGAAGGGATCGGTATATCATCGAGTTATCAGTAAAAATGAAGACATTGTCACTAAGGTATTTAGCCAGTAACAGACCGATTATGAAGCTTCATATACATATTCTCCCATACAAGTTTCAATAAAGCCAAGTTAGCGGTTTGGGCGAAATAAGATTAAATCATTTTATTTTGTCAGTTCCTCGTAAGCCTCATGCAAATTCTTAAAAAATATTTTAAGCTATCTGTGTAAATATTCAAATGTTGGTTTGTAGGGATTTTATTGGTTTCAGGATTTCATCATGAGTTGACATTAGTTAGAGAACCATTGGAAAACCTGAGAGTACTGAAGGGCTGTTTCGTCCTGGTTTGGGACTCTTCAGCAGTACGCACTCACCGCGATTCAAACCCAGGACCTTCCGGTTACAAGGCTAGCGAGATCGTAGACCATTAAGCCATTGGGACCCGTTCCAATGGTCGCCGAAGACATTGGCTGGCGGTCACGCTATGTCGTGAATTGGCAGAAGTTAGAATTCAAGGACCATTGGATCAGGTCCCAGTGGCTCAAAGGTCTGCGAGCTCGCCTTGTAACCAGAAGGTGGTGGGTTCGAACCGTGGTGGTTGGTGCGTACTGCTGAAGAGTCCTAAACCAGGACGAAACAGCTGTCCAGTGCTCCCAGGTTTCCCAGTGGTTCTCTAACTGATGTCAACTCATGGTGAAATATCTGTGTAGATATTTTTGGTGTGCTCTGAGGTTTGTGTAGTGACTGCATTGATTTTCTGGAGTAGGTTCGTTAGTCCTAGTATTTCTCTTTTTATGGGCTTAGGAGTGGTTGAAAAACTAGTGAATTAGTATATCAGGCTATCTTGTCAAGATACCTAAAAAAGGGATACTTAGGCCCCTTCAAGAACTGGAGTGGAATTATACTCTTATCCACACCAAGCGAAATGTTTTGTCATTTTATCCTGGAAAGACTAGAAGACACACTAGATGCAGGCCTTCTACCGGAATAAGTAGGACGGAGTGAAAGCAATTCAAATAGCAAGTCTAAGCGTCATCATCGGACAGAGCATAGAGGCAAAGTCAAATCTCTAACCCAGCTTCATAGACGTCGAAAAGGTATTCGATAGCCATTGATCACGAAGTGATCTGGGAACTTGTTCAACACTATAAAGAACAGAGACACAAACCTTTATCAACGTCATTCAACAGATGTATGGTAATGTCAAATGTCGAGTGATTCACAACAGAAAATTCAGAGAAGCCTTTGAAGTGGAAGCAAGACAAGTTTGAC